AAATAACGATTCACTTTTATATTCCATGTTTATTGAAAAAGTTGAACGGTTTAGAAACATTTTAATCTTTTTATACACAACAAATTTGCGCAAGGACGCACGTTGTTATAAAAAGCGAGTATAATAAACGTCCTACAAATATTTAAAAAAATTAAATTAAATCTTTAATGTACAAATGATAAAGAAACATTAAGAATCGACATCAATGATATTATTTACTGTATTAAAGATGCAGCCACAAAAGAAGGAATAAGGAAAAACGTGTTTCAATCTATCAAAAATTGTATGCACTAGAATACACGGTTTTTTTCTGATAGTTGAAATTTTTTATTCCTGATTCTTTATTTCTTTTATTGTGGCTGTACTCTTAAAAGTTGAAACTTCGTATGTAAGTGAAAAAAGATATTTTATTAAAGTATTTAAATCGGGACATTGTGAATATGAGCATATGAAACGAAACATGTATGTAAATTTCCACATTCATCTTCTCCGATATCGTTAATACGCGGTATTGTTTCTCGTTTGTTCGTCATTGCGTATTACCTTGTAAGGTACAAAATCTATTGTAGGTGTAAGACCTTTCGTGGGAAATCACTGATACGTAAAACTATATATAGTTCTGTCTATCTGATTCAACAGGTCGATGATGGAGATCATCTATCTGTGAAGGTAAGAATTTATGTACAGAAAGAAAAAAGAAATAAATTAATGATTTGCGCACATAAAGTAACAATGTACAACATCGCGCGTACCAGAATTTAAGATTTACTCTTATTACATAATTTACAGCAATGAACAACGATCGTGTGTCGAGATTCACGGAGTAATTGTAAGATGAATTCTGTGTGCAATTATTCCTATGTAAAGTAGCGATTTCTCATGAATCATTCGCATCTTTCTGTGTTTAAATTAGATAAATATAAATATAAGCTGAAAAAAAGGGAGCGTATTCGAGCGTAAAATGCATATTACGGTTTGTAGACTATCAAAGAAATTTTTGAAACAACAAAGTAATATTAGACAAGAAGATGATAACGATGAAAATATCCTGTAATTGTACAAAAAAAATGGAAATAACGTGGATCTTATTTTATTTGATTTATTTTATGCGACAGTTAAAGCAACGAAGTCTCTGTACTGTTTCAGCATGTGCTTTTATTATAGATAAAGAGATTGTGCTGCCAAGTGTAAACGTTAAAAAAAGAATGAAGAAGACATTGAGCATTTTCTTGAGATTATATTCTGCTAAGTTCCATAAAGCGGTCGATGTTGCGGCTACATTTCATCTCATTCTCTTCTTTTTCTTTCCTCTCTCTCTCTCTCTCTCTCTCTCTCTCTCTCTCTCTCTCTCTC